AGCATATCCGGCCGCTGAATGGAATGGCCGTAAAAGCATTATCCTGCAGGGAATGTACATGGCTATGAGGTGACAAACTTAATGGCAAATAGGCATCTCCAGGGTGCCTACAGGGGCAAATTAGTTCAGAACACGGTGTCATGACAGCCAGAGTTACATGGCCTGACTGTTAATACCTGGTCCAGTAACCAGCTCATATATATGGAGGTAATGTTGACAGGATGGCAGACTGCTGGGTTTCCCATTTCCTATGATTGGCACCCTTACAGGGAATATGATTGGCAATTAGAAAAGTTGATTAGAATGTACAATCTTCATTGGTTCCATCTTTAACATACAATGTAGTTATCGTTCTTCTTCTCTTTGAAGTTCTAACCATGTGTACAAAGTGAACATTTACAGATATAATTGCGCAGTACATTTAGTTTGAATGAGTTTGTTTGTTCTGCTACACCAGGTTTTGTGACATGCAATAAATATACAGTGTGTATACATGACATTCTCAAACATCAGCTTATTCCTCATATTTTTCTCTCATTTACCTGCAAAACAAACATATTTGAAAAACAATTAAAGGCTTTGTATCATGTTCAGCACACACAGCAGGCTCAACATCCGATTTCCATGGAGGCCTGTGTAATATATGTTTCCCCTTTTTGGTGAATCAATAAAGCCTGCTTTTGCATACAAATTGAACCAGATTGCACATGCATATGTAAGAGGTGGTGAAATACTTGCCCACTTTTGTGCCTTCAACAGCATTTTTATTGCCCTCAGGCAAAAGCTGCAATCCCAATATTTAAGTCAAATGGCTAATGTTTAGGTCTATTTGTGGTGTTAAGTAGCTTACCACACGAGTGACTTGTTTCTATTGAAATAGAGTTGTGTGCCACCCTTTCTTTAAAAGAAAATTACTAGTACTTCCCCGTTAATGTCCAAATGCTCTTGTAGTCATCAAACCTTACAATTACATGTATAAAATAGTAGTAGACTATAAACCTAATTTCTGTAACATACACAATTTTGCACATTGTGTTGTTTGTGAAGAAAGAACATTTGCACAGTATGTGTTGTTTCATGCTTTATGGTCATAGGTGGAGAAGATTTGCATGTTCAAAATTAAAGTCAAAGCAAAAATCATAATCAAAATAGCCATAAGAATTAAAATGCAACACAAAACATGTTCCCCCTTTCTACAGGGGACTGACAAAAGAAACTTACATTTCATTTCATTTCATTTCAATGCAGAGCACATCCATGTGCCTAAGAAGAATTAGAAGTACCTGATATTGTATGCACAGATAAGATAATTGTCAGTCTAAAAGTCATGTTGTGAATAGATGTCAAAGCAGTCAAGATTTCAGCACTAAGGTCAGATAAAGATTGAGAACAGCTGCTCTCACATTCATATATGCCAGACAGTTGGCTTCTTCCCAAGACACCCCAACCTGAAAACAGGCCACAGAATTCATTATTGACCAAAGGTGCCTTGGTGCACCTCACCTAGAAGTTCAGGTACATAGAGAAAATGACATAAAAGATAAAGTAGAATGCCATCAAAACCTGATTTCAGTTGCAAGCTCTGAACGATTGCAATGAACCCAAATTCTATACATATGTAATAGCTAATTTCAGAATAATTCTAAACAAGTAATGCAACAAAGGTTTTATGATTTCCTCTGACTTCAATCCCTGAAAGGTATTGAGGCAGATATCAGGACATATTGTATGTTCCATGACCACAAAGACTAAAAAGGTTATACATTAGACTAGTTATAGTGTAATGGTATACTATCTAATTATTTTTGTTCTCTCAGTAACATCAATAAAAGTTGTAGGTCATGAACAGAATTACTACAGGCAGCTAGAGATCTGATGTCTGATGCCTAGCACAATGTTACTTAATAACTTCCTTGTGAGGGGTAAAACAATGTTACTGAACTGACCCTTGTCATGGTGAAAACAATGTTACTGAACTTACCCTTGTGAGGGGTGAAACAATGTTACTGAACTGACCCTTGTGAGGGGTGAAACAATGTTACTGAACTGACCCTTGTGAGGGGTGAAACAATGTTACTGAACTGACCCTTGTGAGGGGTAAAACAATGTTACTGAACTGACCCTTGTGATGGGTTGAACAATGTTACTGAACTGACCTGTGTGAGGGGCAGAGCAATGTTACTGAACTCAACTGTTTGAGGGGTATAGTCTAAAGCCCAATGTTGCAAGTGAGCCTTGTGAGGGGTAGAACAATGTTACTGAACTGACCCTTGTGAGGGGTAGAATAATGTTACTGAACTCAACCTTTTGAGGGGTATAGTCTAAAGCCCAATGTTGCTAGTGAGGCTTCCTTCTTATTGTTAGGGAAAATAACAGCTGCCATCAAAGGATTTAGATCATCAGGCATCATCTACATTTGATAATAGAAAACCAGATCAGATGAAACATTGTAGGAGAAGTTTTGATACCATAACACAACACCATGTATCAGCTCCCACAGATGTCCCCTGGGTATGATGTACATTAACAGAACCACAGTTGTTAGTGCCTCATCTGTCATAGATCTGGTGATCTTATTGTGCCTGCTGAGTCTGAACACACTTACACTGACTTTAACATGTACAATAACATGTTTGACTTATCTACTGACAGGGGCACTCTGACAGGAACTGTACGCAGTACAAAGTAAATCAAGTGAATGGATAAATTCTCTGAGGAATTTACCCAGTTGCTTGATTTATTATGTATTACATAATATACTGACCTTCGTCTACATAAGTACTGTAAAAACTGGTAAAAATGGGTGCTTTTTGTGGATAGCATAACTAATTTCATGGACATATCCTTGAACAATTGCTTCCCTGTACACATGTCGCAGTTCTCTATCCATAAGTCATTAGTGGTCATTGTAGGCCATTCAAATAAAGCATTGTTAGGATGACATGTAGCTGATGTACCCTAAGATATTGATTAGATTACCACAAGTATTTAAGGCAAGCCAATTGTTGTGAGTTTGCCATGACTGTTGTGAACTGTCCCACACGGCTACTGCTATAGAAATGGTTGATAATGTCTTCATGCATGACTGAGAAGCTGCTGCCAGCTGAGGTCTATGACCTTGGGGCAAGGTGTACCGACAGCAGCGGCCGATATGGGGCCTCTGATATATGAGGGGCAAGAAACAGCAGATATCGAGCAGTGTCTTCTATTGTGCCTGCAGCTATTGACTGGCTCTGATTTTTGTCACGCAAGTGTTAGGATATAGTGGAACGATAGTGGATTCTTTTACTCACAACCTATGTGCTAATATTTACCTTAAAGTTAAAATTACCTTTTTTGTGACTGCTCAAGGGTGATGATAAGAAGCCTCAGCCTGTAGGATAGGCCCCTGTGCCAGGGGAAACCTCAGCCTGTAGTATTGATAAGCCCCTGTACAGCCTGTAGGATAGGCCCCTGTACCAGAGGAAACCTCAGCCTGTAGGATAGACCGGTACCCCTGCACATGTACAGCCTGTGGGATAGGCCCCTGTACCAGGGGAAACCTCAGCCTGTAGCATTGATAAGCCCCTGTACAGCCTGTAGGGTAGTCCCCTGTACAGCCTGTAGGATAGGCCCCTGTACCAGGGGAAACCTCAGCCTGTAGGATAGGCCCCTGTGCCAGGGGGAACCTCAGCCTGTAGGTTAGGCCCCTGTACCAGGGGAAACCTCAGCCTGTAGGATAGGTCCCTGTGCCAGGGGAAACCTCAGCCTGTAGGATAGGTCCCTGTGCCAGGGCAAACCTCAGCCTGTAGGATAAGCCCCTGTACAGCCTGTAGGATAGACCCCTGTACCAGGGGAAACCTCAGCCTGTAGGATAAGCCCCTGTACAGCCTGTAGGATAGACCCCTGTACCAGGGGAAACCTCAGCCTGTAGGATAGGCCCCTGTACCAGGGGAAACCTCAGCCTGTAGGTTAGGCTCTGTAGAATCTATCCCACCTTGGGGTGACCAGGAAGACATGGAAATGAAATGGAAAGATGAGACCTGGCAGACTGAGTGCTGAAGTGGAGGGGTTAGAAGCATCAACTTCCCTAATTAATAGCAGGGGGGCAATATTTCTAAACTATGAGCATTGTGTTCATTCCATGATACCATTACGCCACACAATGCCACATTATTACCATATCTGCCAAATTTTGTTTTAAGTATAAGTCTAGTAGATGATTGCCACAAAAATTTGTCATACCGTGTAAAAACAAAAGTGTGACGTACAATGTACTGTAGCAGGATGGCCTTACAAAGAAGATAAGTGAAAGAATAAAGATTTTGAACTATTTTTTCTGCATTTCCCTTCAGATCCAGTAATAATGTTGGAGGATCCAAAATTTCACATGTTTACATGACAATTCTCCATGAACAGACAGGCTGATTCCCCGCCCTTACCTACAACTACTGCTGCCTTTTTGTGTTTTATGGACAATGCTGAAACTGCTAAATTTAAATGCACTTAGTCTACGAGGATGAAACCAATCCCAAAAATTATACAGTATTTCAAAAGCTTTACAAATTCTATGACAGCCATGCATTATTCTTGATATTATTAAGAATATAACATTATAGTAGCCATGTATGTAGCAACCCATATCCTGATGTAGTATGGAACATTAGATTGTAACTCTTTCTAGCTCTTGCATTTAAGGCTACTTGAAACAATTACGGTACTTTGGAAAACCATTTAAACATTGATTTTTGGCCATGATTTGGTTATTTAGATATTATTCAATACATCTAAAAGCCTCAAAAATTTGAAAGTGGCTGTACAGATTGTGACTTGTTTTTAGACACACGCCAAGAAATTGTCCTTACTACCTACAGATTGATGATCTGTAAGAGGACACGAGACAGCTTAATCATTGTCTAGTATTGTCCACAATTTAAGTAACAATTGAACTCCACAATTACCTGTAAAATGCCTGTGGAATACATTGTTGAATGAAGATTTTCTCCAATGTTTCACTGCAGTAAGATGATGTTTCTCCTATACGAGGACAGTCTTCGTATAGTCATCCACACCGCCAACCTCATCCAACAAGACTGGCACCAGAAAACTCAAGGGTACGTTCCAAAACTTCTTTTCTTTCAACTCCAGTTGTCATACATTCACCGCCCAATGAAGGGGAAATCCAACTGTGTGATGGTCTAACTTTCCCAGCCACAGAAATGCCAAGGCTGCATTCATGAATTATTTTGAAAGCAGTTTCTCATTGCCATGGACCAGTGGGTATTTCTTGTTGCCTCTCCACCCACACAAGATTCTCTGAAGCTGCCGTTCTTTGGCTTTTTTGTTTGAAGATCTTCCCCAAGGCTAGCAAGGCAAAATGGCATGCACAACGGTTTCTCTCTCAAACCATCTCCTGGATATTGTTCTTAGAAACTTGTAATTAGAACAGTTTTTTTCACAAGCAGGAGGTTCTGCCTCATTGGAACAGCAATTCCACAGTAATCCTGCAGCCGGATAGTGGATGTTCCTCAACAGAGAAATGCTGCCTCGGGTTGGCTGGGTGTCGCAGGGTCCTGAAGTGGTTGACTGCACACAGCTATTAAGAAGACTGGCATCCCCGGGAATCAAAGTCACCCACGTATGATCCTCTAACACAACCTGCCACAGTCTTGTACAAAGTCTCCCAGCCGGGCTGTGATGCTCTAGTCTGCTATCATCAGAGATTCCGTGTTATGTACAAAGCGGATCCTGATTTGTGCTGATCATCCATCGCCTGTGCTGTTCTAAGTCGAGTTGCTGTTCAGGAGCTGCTGACATTTTCACCTCTTTCTCATCTGTCGAACTGTTGTGGCTTTTCTGGTGTGAATGTTTTGAGATTTATCCCCACTACGTGGTGCTGACTGTCCAGATAGCAGATTTCAGATAGTATCCTTTCAATGGAACAGATACACAGCATGTGACACAGACAGATGTGTGATGCCAACACACGCAATAATGTGGGGTCTTCAGATGTGCCTGATCACCAAGTATTGATCCCAGTCCTAAGGCCCCATTGGCTGGTGGAGAAATGACAGAGGGGGCTAGTTGTACATTCCCTGAGCATGGTGATATTCCGGGCAGGTAATTCCCATCTACAGTCGGTGGTATGTGATCTGCCCCAGGGAATGGCAGCAACTCCTGATAACAGAACCGTCAGTCCTCGCCGGCCGGTCACCAAGAAGCATGAAATTTACTGATGATGCTCCCTCACTGTGTGAAAACCACCTTTCTGTGAAGAACAGCCTCTTTGTAAGGCTGGGCCGTATTGGACTCTTTGGAGAGATGCTGGCAATAATACTGCATTGATTGTGGGAGTAATCTGTGTTGCCACGGTGCCAAATCTATTATTAATGGCTATTTATATGAAGTCACATGCCCGTGGCTGCTGGAATGTGCCACAACTATGTATGTAGGGGGGTGATTTGGTGGGACTCACAATAATATTATTATGGGCAGTGTAAACTGGGATATGAGTGGGCATGTGGGTGCTGATTATCTTTATATATGAATTAAAGTCATTTACCTCAAAGTATTGTTCTAAATTATGATTATTCATTCTTTTCTTATATTTTGCTTCATTTTTGTTATTTCACAAATGTACATACAGGGAGTATACCTGTACTGTGTACTGTTAACGTCGTCAGATTCAATGTTTATTCCTAGCTCTCTGTTTTCATGTTGTCCAATGGCATTTATGGAATTTCCAAGAACTATATATAAAGGAAATATATGGGTGTGGCTTAATTTAGCAAATACTGCATGATTAATGAAAACAAAATGCTCTTGGATAACCGTTACTTTCATAGTGCCAGGTGTGTTTGATTTGTGTATTTCGCATGAACAAAACCCCAAATGCTCATGTTTTGGAACCAACAGTTGAAGAAAGTCCTTTTAGCTGTTGGACTTTTTCCTTTGATCGATGCTCGAACTGTTCATACCCCGGGTAGTATGAAATGTTAAGCAGCCTGGTGTGTTTACTTTCAAATTGTAACTCCTGTCAGTGGTACTGTTATTACAGTAGTATTTATCACATGCAGGATTCCTATAACGTGTTTATTTTTATTTTGTTCATCCTCTTCATTTTTTCTGCAAAAATCTCAGAACCAAGAAATTTAATGGGTTAGGACCACCTGTATGTATATCAAATACCAAATCAAAAGAACATTAATATTGATATTCCATAATTGTTCAATTTATGATATAACGACCAGATGTGCGTCCTATTTTAGATATGTGACTGTACGGGTATGTCCTTGACCTTCCATAGGAAGTCTGGTCTTCAAGGAAATAAACGCAAAATTAGCAAATGGATGAGTGTAGTTAATGGTTTCATCTTTAACCCTAGCTTTTTGCTTCGTGAAGATGGATGATTTGTGTGGTTGCCAGCCTTAAGTTGTGGTGGGGGTGTTATTAACTAGAGTAGGGTGTATCAAGGCTTAATGTATAGTATGCACTGCAAAAAATGCATTTTCTTGTTTTTCTTGTTTCTTCTTCCAGAAAGAAAAAAATCCTTCAGGGAAGAAAACTTTCTTTGTGTAAGAAAAAGATTTTGTCCACGAATTAAGAAGTTTTTTCTTAGAATTTTTTTCTTATAGAGTTTTTCTTGTAGTGAGAATATCTTCCTTATCGGTTTCTTATATTCATGTAGCTGGATTATAGAAACATCTAGAATGATATTCTTGCATTAAGATTCATATTCTCGTTCCAAGAACGTAATTCTTAGAAAGTAAGAATTAGGATCTTAAATACATGTGTTCCATATAAAAGTACTTCTTACCTTAAAGGAAGCTTTTCTTGATTTAAGTTCTTATAGTAAGAATACCTTTCTCTACAGAATTAAGATTCTTGTGCCCAGAAAAGGTTTATTGCTTTTAAGGTAGAAATTCTTGATATATTAAGAATATCTTTCTCACCAGAGGCCCAGGATTCTTGATCCCAGAAAGTTTTTCTTGATTTTGATATTGACATTTTCAGACGATAACTAAGAATATTTTTCTCACCCGAAGATGAAGACTCTTATTTTTAACAGAATTTTTTTCTTACTTTGAAGATTGACATTCCAATAATAAGAATATCGTTCTTATCTCAAGACTAAAAATCTTGCCTATACCAGAAAATTTTCTTGCCTTTAAGATTAACATTCTCAGAATATCTTTCTTATCTTGAGACCAAAATTCTTATTTCTACCAGGAAGTATTTCTTGCTTTAAAGATTAGCATTCTTATACTAAGAATCTTTCTTAACTCAAAAAAACGAAATTCCTTCATCTGTTAGAAACTTTTTATTGCTTTCAAGATTAACATTCTTACATGGAAATTAAGAATAGTTTTCTCAACCCAAGACGGAACTTCTTATTTCTACTGGAAAGAGTTTCTTGCATTCAAGATTAACATTCTTAAACTAAGAATATTTTTCTTACCCAAAGATGAAAATTCTTTGGGTCTTTGGATGAAATTACTAGAAAGAGTTTCTTGTTTTTAAGATTAACATTCTCATACCAAGAATATCTTTCTCACCTCAAGACCACAATTCTTGTTTCTACTAGAAAGTTTTTTCTTGCTTTTAAGATTAACATTCTTGTACTAAGAACACCATTCTTACCACAAGACAAAAATTCTTATTTCTAGAAATGTTTTCTTGCTGTTAAGAATATATTTCTTACCAGAAGACCAAGTTTCTTGATCCTAGAAAGTTTTTCTTGCTTTTAAGATTAAAATTCTTATACAAAGAATATGATTCTTACCAAAGTCCTTAATATCAAGACCAAAATTCCCATTACTAAAACGTTTTTTCTAGCTTTTAAGATTAACATTCTTATACTAAGAACACCATTCTTAACACAAGACCAAATTTCTTATTTCTAGAAATGTTTTCTTGTTAAGAAAAACATTCTTATGCTGAGAACATATTTCTTACCAGGAGACCAAGTTTATTTTCTTGATCCAAGAAAGTTTTTCTTGCTTTAAAGATTAACATCCATCATCATCATCATCATCATCATCATCCATGCACTTACAATAATAAACATAAGATCATCTTTAACAAGATCTGATTACAAAACTTCTTGGACTTTTAATCATCTTGGTAGACACGCTATGTCAGTCTGTTCAGACCCAGCTTGGAAGTGGATAGCATTTCTCCCTACACGACGAAAACCTCAGCATTGTCAAGGTCACAATCCTCCTGCATCTGGAACAAAAAGTTATTATTACTGTCACAAGTAAACACACATTGTACCTGAGGCAGTGATATGAAATAAATGCTAAATAAAAATATCATTCTGTTA